CTTTAGCAACTTTGTTGCGAGAGTATAAACAGACGGTACCTAGACAATTAATTACAAGAGCGCAATTTCTAAATCATATACTTGTACAAGGTTCGTTCCAAAGTAAACAGGATACAACTTTTTGAATCTAGCGCCCCCTGGTAGTGCCATATATATGTCGACTGAAGCGTTAGAATCTGCTATCTTTATCGATTGTCCAATGAGAATGTCATGAGCATTAAATACAGACGTAGAGGCCATTCAAAAGGCTTGCACCGCCATACTGGCCGCCATACCAAGCTCGTTCTACATGCTTTTGGACCGTACAAATGTTGTATTGAAGCAGAAAGAGACTATTTTGAATAAAATAAATTGATTTTGTCGAAAAATTTCTTCTGTTTTTTTTAAGTACTGTTCACTTTGGAAAGCACCTTGTACTTATCTCTAAATACAAACACTACTTGTGGGAAAGTAGATTGATTAAACTATTTATTCTAATATTAAGATCTCTATGCTTATATCAACTATTGTCAGACAACCATGAATTGCTCTCAAGTTTATCAGACACATACTTATGAATATGATAAATGAAATGGAATACAAAGATAGCTATCTGTAAAACCTATAGAATACATATTCGCAGCATTATGAGCTAATCAAAATTCCTTCCACCCCATGAAGAGCTCCGTATATCCCCCCGATGCGATATGGCATTGCACAAATAGCTAGAAAATTGAGATAACCAACTGCATAATCTAAGGTAATTGAAGCGAACGATAAGTATATAAGAGCGCATTTCGCGAAACATTGTTTCTTTTCTTCAATTAAGGTGACAGTAAGTACTTGTACACGAAGCACGAAACGTAGAAAATTTGCATTTGAAATGACAAATAACGAAAAGTTCAGCGAGGATGAGCTCATTTTCCCGGAGTGGTTGAACGAGGCGTTTTTCGAAAACATTTTGAAAAACGTCGAAACTGAAGACACAAAGGTGTGTTTTGGTTCCATATTACATATTTCTAATTTTTTTCAAATAAAACTTGTTAGCTCACGCATTTAGAGATGACACCGGGAACACAATTGGGTCCCGCCATCCTGATTTGGATGAAGTGAGACTACTTTGCTTAAACTGGCAAAATTGCATGCGGTCAGTTACAAATTGAGCAAAGAGGAGGTGAGGAAAACATATTTTTATCCGAAGCTTGTAACACTCAGAAGTAAGCGACGGAGACCCTATAAAGTGTATACATAAATGATCAGTATGTTGGCTGAGTCGATTTAGCCATGTCCGTCTGTCTGGCAATCGTTTTGAAATTTTGCAAACGTCATTTTCTCTTCAAGAAGCTGCTCATTTGTCGGAACTGTCGATATCGGACCACTATAACGTATAATTGCCATACAAACTAAACGATCGGAATCAAGTTCATGTATCGAAAACTTTCACATTTGACAATGTAACTTCAAAGTTAGCACAGGTTATTTTCTAAGGTAAACATTTAATCGCCGAAGAAATTGTTCAGATCGGTCGGTTAACTATAGCATATAGCTGGCATACAAACTGAATGATCGGAATCGAGGTTTTGTATGGAAAACTTTCAAATTTGACAAGATATATTCAGTAAATTTGGTACAGATTATTTTCTAAGGCTAACTATGTAATCTCCGAAGAAATTGTTCAAATCGGATTACTATAGCAAACTGAATGATCGATTCCAATGCTTGCATGGGAAACTTCTCATTTGACGATATCTCTTCATCTCATCATCTTTTTGGTAAGAATTATCATTCGTAGAAATAATGTAATATCTGATGAAATTGTTCAGATCGACTCGAAATCAAGATCTTGTATGGACAACTTTCGCATTTGACGTGGTATTTTGATATGGATTACTGCTTAAGTTTACTATAGCATATAGCTTCCTTACAAACTGAACACATAGTTACTAAAAGAAATGCACCTGTGAAGGGTATATTAGCTTCGGTGCAGCCGAAGTTAACGTTTTTTTTCTTGTTTTAATGTAAAATTTCAATCGGTATTGTTTTGGATGAAAACATATTTTCACAATGTTTTAGGGAGACAATCTCATAACCTCCCTAGACAAGGGTTCAATGAACACTACTGACCCCAACACCTTTCCATTCATTAAGAATGGAATTAAATTGTTCAAAGAAGTTCTAAGCGTACACGATGACTTGAAACAATTTGTGCCACATATTGAGTCAGTCGAATATTTACTATTGGCAAAAACCATCGACATGTTTAACGAAGCCAGCAGTGGTAAACGAAATGGAATTTTCGTGCTCAATCATGGTGACTTTCATTTGAAAAACATAATGATCCAAAGGAATGATGGCAGGCTGACAGATGTTATGTTGGTAAGCAAATCAGGTTACTGTATGATTTAATGCATAATTGATTGTATTCTGTTCTGTCTTCTGTACGCAGCTTGATTATCAGATCAGCATATTTGGGTCGCCTGCGATTGATCTTCACTATGCGTTCGCAATGATGTTTAGCCCCGAAATCCGACGTAACCATTATGATGAGCTCCTCTATTTCTATATCACGAATTTTCAGGACACGCTGCGCAAAACGGAATACAAAGGCCACATACCGGGAAATTTTGAAATTCGTCAGGAATTAACAAAGCATAGATTTTGGGGTAAGTTGAACGGCATAGCTTCAAATTCATATACATACATACATACAAATCTATGCATCCAATTTTTTTGTGTATTATTTAGCTTCTACATTAAGTAATGAGTGTTTTCTATTATTTATTATAACCTGAAATAAGCATCATTTCGGGATACTTAAATCATCTTAATTCTGATCGCTAATTGTATCGTATATTCATTGCACAATATTTAGTAAAATTTCCTTTTATGGAGAAGAATGCCTTAAGAATAGCGGAAGGTTTCGCTTGTCATTATTTACCAAACCATCAATAATTGAACCATGCCTTTTATTTTGATTTTTGAATTTCGTTTTCGTTTAAACACAGGGCTTTTTATATTCCTTTGCTTCCTAATATTCAACTATACATTTATCGATGAGGATGGGAACCTTGCAGAGGTGATCGAAAATCCACAGGCACAAAAAAAAGAATTGGAAAACCCGAAATTCCTGAATGAATTACGAGAACTATTGCCAAAATTTTTACATAATGGTTATTTTGAAATATAATAACTGTTAAAATATCAACTAAATTAAAAAACGGATATTGGCTACCATGGCGATATTTGTAATTATATTTGTTTTCGCATTTTTTAACGATAATGTGCCTGGGCTGCTAGATATCCGCAAATATGGCACAAAGCAACTCAAGCTGTTTTCAGCGTAACAAGAGTACCTTTTTTTATTATTGTCCGGTTATATTAGTAATTATTTTTATATTTTTAGTTTAATGTACTAGAAAAGTGTGCTGTATCTCTTTAAGCCATGTTTGTTACACTGTGGAAAATTTTTGGGATTATTGTCTGGGGGGTGAGAAATTCCAAGTCAGGGTGATGGTACTAGGTCAGTATAGTAAAACCCTCAAAGGGTTTGGCGTTCGTATGTGTCGGTTTTTTTATGACCTTTTAAATTTTTACCTTATCTTGAGGTTTTTCGCTTAGTTGTAACATGTTGGCAAAAACCAAAAAAAAAAAAAAAACCAATTTCCGAGAATGCTCTCAACATCCTTGCGACAGAAACATCGTAGTTGTTGCTTTCCCAACAAGCCTTCTATTACTTCTTTGATTGCCTGCCATGCGTTCAATTCAGCGTCAATCAAAATATTGCTGAAGGCGTCACTTTTAATCAGCTTTCGTATATCTGGACCATTTAGTACGCCTGATTGGAAAACATTAATTTGTTAAGATGGAAAACCATGGGAAATAAGGAAAAAATGTAAAAGGTCATAAAAAAAAACTGACACATACGAACGCCAAACCCTTTGAGGGTTTTACTGTACTGACCTAGTACCATCACCCTGACTTGGATTTTCTCACCCCCCAGATTAGCTGTTGTACTGTGTTATTTAGATGCTAAAGAACGAAAATGTCTTTTTAAAGAAAAAATATATATTTGTTTCCAAAAAATATCTGATTGGTTACGTAAAAACGAATATTTAGATTATAGTGAACGTTTTAATGAAAACCTAAAAACACAGCTGTCAAGTTCCATTTGTTTGGAGATTGTTAGGCAGGGTAGGCCGTTTTCCGATGGAGTCTTTGATAAATCTTGCTTATAAAATTTGCTTAATTTTAATTCCAATTTCCCACTGGGCTACTTTTTTTCGTGCCCACCAACACAGTGACAGATCCACGCCGACCACTGCCCTATGGGCACTACATTGTCACACTCCCATCGTTCCTTTAAATGATGAAATGGCGATCTACCGATCTTCCGATCTACCGATCTACTTTTATAGCGTCCCTATTGATATTGATTGTATATAAGAGCTTGGGTAATTCGTGGACAGATAAAACTATGGTTTAATCTAAGCTTCGTAAATATGTAAATATACCTCACATATAGGCCAATATATACAAATATATAAACTTACTCGTTTGTTAACTCGGCTATAACCGCGTAAATGGGGTTCTACGCCAGTAAAGAAGAAAAAGATTTTGTGTAAAAAACCTTATACTGGTGTATGGAGGCTATGGGAAATATTCGGTTCCAATGCTTAGCACATCACTGACAGCTAATATAACCACAATTGTATGATCCTGAAAGCATACATCTGGATCAATTTGTAATCTGATCTTGCGCTCACTAACTACGAAGGTATGACCATGTAGCGCTTCATATCAAAAGCAAAAATGCATAAGTGACGTACTTAGATGTGTATACATCTACATACATATCGTCACCTCAAATGCAAAATAATTCGAAATTGAATGTCTTTTTGATTACGCTTCACTACTTCAAATTACATAGTACATAATATTACATATGTTCTGCTGTCAGATATAAACCAGTTTTAGCCAATATTAAAATTTTGTTTCACTCATGTTCCGTTTTATTTCGTGTTTCATTCATGCCACTGAAAATTTCCGAAAATGTTGTTAGGTTATTTTGCATTTCAGGTGACAATATGTACATTCATTAATACCCTGCAGTGAAAAATTAAACAAGTAGTGGCAATAACAAACTGAAGATAAGTGAATTACTTTGAGATCATTCCGAAAGGGACCAGACTTGGACTGGTGGTGTAGCATTATTTGGATGAATTTAAAAAATTTTAGTATTTCATATGTTTTTTTAGTTTTCAGCACTTAAGTATATATCCTTACTTATTTGAAACAAAGGCAGATGTTTCGAAGATTGCGGCTCGTTTCGTTCGTAATAACGTGAATATAATCAATCAACAATCTGTAAAGTGATTACATTTAAGTGAATAAAAAGTAAAAGGAATTATTATTATTATAAATACATTAGTGATATTTCACTAGGAGGATGGAGTCATGTGTAGAAG